AAAAATTGGAAAACTACGTAAGCTTTTATTTTGGTGTCATTTTTAATCCTCTTGATGGAAACTTTATAATGATATATATTTTGTTATAAAAAATATTTATTTTATTATAATTTAATAAATTACATAAATTAAAAATCAAAATATATAAAGGCTCATTAGGGGTAAATTGGTCATTTTATCTGTTTTGTCGAGTTCAGTCTTACCAACGCTGAAATGTTGTCCTGTCCAGACTGGATATCAAACGCACCTTAAAAGCTTAGAAATACATTAGAGGTCATTTTGCAAAACCGGCTTCTGGAGAAGGTCATGAGCTGAATGACCCCACAATATTCTGTGTTATAACCAACATTCTAAGATCCTAACCCCAAAAAACACAGGAGCACCCAAATACATCAACGAATAAGAGAAAGAACAGAACAAGAACACGGGAAGTTGATCAAAGAAAGAGGCGCCAGAGTTTAGCAGGTGCTTACTCGTTCATATGTTGATTTAATGTCGTTATTTCCATGTTTTTTTTCTATCCGAAATTATGGAACATTTATTGAATGTCTTGGCAGAGGCCGGCACTTCATGGAAATCCGGTGTAAGAAGAAGCAATAGAGTTAGAAGGAGACCTTTGGAATATTGGAAGGGAGAAAGACTCTTATATGGTCGAGTCCATAACAGTAAGTGCTTCTTTGCCAAGATTTCTTTGTTATTTTAAATATATAATGTTTACATGTATATGGTCAGGTTTAGGGAAAAACCGCAAAGAAAATGAAAAACTAAGGAACACCCTAGTAACCTGGACGGTATGCACATGTACATATAGGGAATCTGTAAGCAGTTGTCCGGTATTCACATGTGCATAACATGCACACGTGTATAAAAATCAAGAAACAACTTCAATTACTTGTATGCACATGTTCATACCGTCAAAATAAATGGTTACCAGAGTGTTCATCAGTTTTTCATTTTTTGGGCTCTCTGTCTCTGGTGGTTTCATCTACAAACCCAAATATTAGTGCAAACCATACATACCAATTAATTGAGATATTTATGAAAATGATGATGGTTCATTTATCATGATTTGGATACTTATGGAAGATTCCTATATTGGGCTACTTTCAAAACCTTTATTTTGGTACCTCAGAGTCGGATGTGATATCTCAAACATTTCGACCATACTACGTTGCATTCTCATATGTAAACCATGCACCTAAACTTTGAGATATCAATACTAAAATGAAGGTCTTGAAAGTATGTTACCCAAAATAGGAATCATATGAAAATACGTTGCAATTTTATGCGGTTTCTGTTTTTAGATCTGTAAATTGTTTGATTTTTACATCTTGAAAATATGATAAAAAAAAATCCATGCAACATTTGCAGGTTTGCCAACAGTTGTCGGTGTGAAGTATATCTCTCCGACTACGGACAACGGGAAACCTGGTTTCAAGGTGGAATCCTTTGTCTCCGATAAATACAAAGAGCTCGTCGATTTGATTGCTCTCCACTGATATATCTTCTATTTTGCTTGAGCAAGAACCACATACGAGTCCCTGCTTTTTTGCATTGTGGAATGGACATATGATATTACTTCACCACGTCGTCCAACCATGTTAGCCTTTTTATTAACGAACCATTATAGCATCGTTTTTTTGGTAATCGTGGGTATTTAGACGAACTTGGGGGCGTGAAGATAAGAGTCGGGAAAATATCTAGTGGTTCTGAGGAGATTTGAACGGATGACGTACAAAGAGAAATCCTATAGTCTAGCCTTTATTTGGGCCAGTTAAGGGTTGTGAATATAACAATATTTCATGCATAAAAATTTGTTTTTAAGAGTTTTTGTCAAATCCTTTATAATACAGTATAGATAAAACAAAACAATTTCTTTTATATTTAATCCCATAAATGACTGCTTAATATCTCTTATCAAACACCCTTAACTAATGAGCTACATGTGGGATGAACTCTTGGTCGTCTTCATCGACAATCTTGGTCAAATTATTAAGCTGCTTCTAATTTTTCTTCATTAATTTCGTAAGAATACGGTTATAAAAAATTCTAATAATACAGAGAAAAGAAACAAAATTGAGGGACTGTTTGGTTCATGTTGGGAAATGAAAATGAGAATGAATTTTCATTCTCCCATTTTAATATGGGATGAAAATTTGGGTTTCTGAAGAAATGAGCTCATTATATTATATAATATCAAACAGTTTCTTTTATTTTCGTTCTCATTAATTACTGTTTAATATATACAAAAGTGTCATAACAATAAAGGAGAGTTGCACATCATTGGGTTTAAAAGACTTCACATGTGAGTGCTACTATTGACGAAGGTAAAACATAGGCTGTTGTATTATAAGAGACATAACATTATCTAATATCGTTTGGCAAATACAAGACAATTTTGTCTTAAGAAGAGAGATCAAAATCTCAGGTCAACGTTTAATTTGATCGGTTGTTATACGTATTTTTTTATTAAATTGGATATCCAACCCGCTATGCGAGCTGACAAATATGAAGGCGACTACCTGCTTTGCGTGTAGTCCGGAGTCACCATATTTGAACCTTCGTGGCCACAATGAGATTTTATTCCTCTTTGGATTTAAACTTGTGACCTGTTACATATATTACTGTCTATGTTTTATGTTTGAATTATTTGCTTTGTTCTAGATTATTAAGTCTTCATGAAAATAAATCAACTAGCAGTTTTATAGATTAAACAACACTGATATTAAACACACACGCATACGTGTAGGATTGGCTTCCGGTGGGAAGGAGAGTTAATATGAGAAGCGTAAGAAAAGATCTTCACCCTTGAATGCACATTAAAATGAGATGCACCAAGATCCACAAGATCAATCCTTGTATAAACGCGATTCATGGTGGGTTTGAGATTAAAGATAATCAAGGGTCTAAATCCATTCTTACGCTTCTCGCCTCAACTCCTTCTCATACGATCCTTCACCTATATATATATATATATATATATATATATATATATATTATAGAAGTTCAAACGAGAACAAGATCAAAATAAGAAAAGACGATAACGGCAAAACACATATGATTTTCCACTGAAATCATATGCGATCATGGAACATAGTCATGACAAGGAGTGTGCGGGCGACTTGGCTCGCGACCTAGGTCACACAAATCACATAGTGATTTTAGTGTAAAATCGATTTGGTTATCACATTTTTCTTTATTTAAATTTAAAGTTAAATTCAATCATATATATATATATATATATATATTATAGAAATTGTTGCATTTAATATTAATGGTTATAAATTACAAAACTATAAGCAGCGCAGTCAAATAAATAGAGGTTGAAAATGAGAGGAGAATATGATGTCTGGAAAAACATAATAAAATACGATGTTTGTGAAATGTCAACGTTCGGTAAGTGTATACACATATTTATGAATGTTTCAATCATTTATACTAAAAGACCAAGACCAAGACCATCTCATCTAATATTATTTATATATATATATATATATATATATATATATATATATATATATACACACTTGAGATCACGTGAGACCAGACTGTTTTCATGAGACCACTTTTTTATACTTAAAATTTCACAGCTAAACATTGTGAAGGTAACCTTCACAGTGTTTTTGTTGTGAAAGTTAAATTTTTTTACCTTCACATTAGTTTGCTGTGAAATTTCAAGCGTAAAAAGGTGATCTCACGGATCTTACGGAAAGATGCTGGTCTCACGTGAAACCAACCATACACACACACACACACATAGACTTGGAATCATATGAGACCAAGACTTTTTCGTGAGACCCGTAAGACCAATTTTCAACCCTTGGATTAGATCTACAATCTCAACATTCATAATCACAAAATTGCCACTGTGCAATTTTAGACCATTAAATCATTAGCTTATAAAATTGATCAATGAACATAAATTGGTCTCACGGGTCTCAAGAAAAACCCTGGGTCTCATGTGAACCCAATCCTATATATATATATATATATATATATACCCTATATATATATAAATTAATGAAGATATTAATTATGGTAACATAAAAATATATGAATATATGTATGTCTTTTAACCATCTCATAAAAATTCTATGTTTAATTTGGTTTATAGTTAAATAATTTTTAATCTAATTGATAGACGAGGAATCGTGTGAAAATAGGAGTCATGGTGAAAATGACGAGAATATTTTTGAGTTTTTGGATGAGTTGACTTTTTAATCCGACTTAATTTTTTCCATCTACTTTCATCTATCCTTTTATTTAAATTCACCTTCATTTTTAGGTTATTCTCACGAACTTTTACACATAATTAATCATTTTCATATGTATTAATTTGTTAAACTTTCGGTCATGATAAAAAGTTGTCAAAAAAGATAGTTGAATATAGATGAAGGTATACAAAGGTTTTGTTCTCACTTTCTCTCTATAACTCTTATTCTCACTGGAACCCAACCTCTATTTGATAATATTCAGAAAATAAATAACTTAATAAAGAAAATTAAATAATAATTAACTCTTTTTTGAAGTATATAATGTATTTTATATACGACAAATGCAACAAATAAACTCACACATCCTCTCACCATTGGTGATGTTTGAACCCCTGACCTCATAAAAGACAAAAGACTCAGATACCGCTAGGACAAAGACCATTTGATAATAATTAACTTTTTTGTTCCTTCGGTGAATCCAACATTAGTCTATTGCTACCTAACTAAATCAATCAAATGAAATTTTATGTCAAATCTTTCTACGATATTCCAGACAAATTCATATATTCTTACGTCTTGAATCTTTGGATTATTTGACAACGTATATAGGGACGTTTCAATTTTTCAAGAGGTTGTGTTACATTCAGCTTGTAACGTTTTTGCTTTGAGAAAATGTTGCTTCCTCGCTTTGACGTGTAAAACTTAAGGTTTAAGCTCGCCATCACGTCACACCTGAACTCATTTATTTAGAACCTTGGTTATAACCAAACCATCATATCTCACATTTGGTTGCAAATTAACACCTTATAAAGTTCTCTTGTTGATTTATAATTTGTACCATGACTAATATTTTATATTTAATTTTCAAATATTATATCACAACATATATAGTTAAATAACAATTTATTCAGACTCTATTAAATGATAAGAGGCTATGAAGAAAAAAAAAACAGTCTGAATTACAAAATGTTTGAACGAATCAGACATAAATGATAATTAAGAGCTGAAAATGAAAAAACAAATATGTCACATTCATTTGAATTTTGAGAGAAAAAAATATACTAAAAATTACCATTTTCTTGAAATGGATAGAAATATTAAACTTGTTATAATAATAAAAAATTACTAAATGTATCACTTACATAAGTTGACTTAAGATCACGTGAGACCAGTCTATTTTTGTGAGACTCATGAGACCACTTTTTTTCACTTGAAACTTCACAATGTTTTTGCTGTGAATGTTCGGCTTTTTTTTACCTTCACAACAAAACGAGTGTAAAAAAGTGGTCTAACGAGTCTCACGAAAACAAACTGATCTCACGTGAATCCAATCTTACATAAGTTATTACACACACACATATATATATATATACACACATATATTTTATATATCTAACAAGACATCTACGAATTTTAACCCCTCTACACAAAAACAAAAAGGGAAAAATGAAAAAAAAAAAAAACCTAAATTAAAAATTAAAAAAAAAAAAAAAAAAAAACCATAAGAAGCTAATTGCTAGTATTCCAAGCAAAGAAACTTGTCATTGAACATATCCTCCTTCCATTTCCTAATGTTCTTTGCAATGAATTCTTCTATCCTAATATTTAGATCATCATCATCACCATCATCATCATCACCATCATCATCATCATCATCATCATCATCATCATCATCATCATCTTCAATGCTTTTGGCATCATCTCCGTCACCTTCATACCCATCGAACTCCTTAATCCCTTCATCTTTCCCAATTGAACCCTTGATTACTTCTAATTGAACAAAACCAGGGAGACAATCGTTGTAATCTTCATGGCTCTCAATGGCACCCTCGATTAATTCTAAACGAACTACCCTTGGGATGAACTCTTGATCATGGCTCTCAGTGGCACCCTCGATCAATTCTAAATGAATTGCACTCGAGATGAACTCTTCATGGATCCTTGTGGCACCCTCTAATTCTAGATGAACGACACTTTGGTTGAACTCTTCAAGGATCCCCGTGGCACCCTCTAGTTCTAGATGAACTACACTCGGGATGACCTCTTGCTCATCTGTATCAACAATATCAGCGAAACTATAAGTTTCATCTAATATATCTTCGTCAACTATATAAGAATACGAATGCGGGTATGCTTCTAATATAGAGAGAAAAGGGTTGGAATTATGTTGACAATCTTGATCACAATCATCACTTGATGGTTTTGAAGAATTTGCCTTGAGAATGGGTACAAAGAGAAAGCAAAGTGCCAAAAACATCACCAAAATGAAGGTAGGGTTTGTTGGGTATGTGAATATGGGAAAGACAACAACAAGTTTTTGGTAATTTAGAGAAGGAAATGGAGCAAGTTTAGACAAGAGGGAGAGAAGTTTGGGAACCCCATTCATCTTCATGCACTTCATCTTTCTCAATTCTTGCCTATTTGAGCTTCTAG